TGAGCCACAAGTAGGATCAGATATCGAAACGATGTCGAATCGATGTCAATTTGACGGTGTCGCTGTCGACATCGTTTCGACATCGATCAATGAGGCATTTTTCGCTGGGTTTCTTCTATTAATATTATTCAAATTAAAATGTTAAAATACAATTTTTAAATATGCTTCCTTTAAAATTATAGTTATATCTTTATACATTTCTATGTCTACTTTAGATAATCTCGGATTTATTTACCTTACTATCGTGTTGGTTGACAACCAGAATGGAGGCACAGATTTTTCGCGGTAGTTGCGCCTCTGCGCTTGAATTATTTGTGTGACTGCTTGCTCCGGTGAAACCAACGGCAGGGCATTCGGGAACCTATTGAAATTAGAATAAAATTATTGCCAATGGTGTTATTACGATAGTAGTCTAGTATTGTTAAGAACTTAATAGTGTCGTGTACTTTTATTCGAATCCTCACAATAAGTCATGTTTAATATAAAGCTTAATAACTGAAATGTCGAACAAAGTTTTACTCTGACGCGTTTCTTTAGCTCACCTCGCATCCAAAAATCTAGTCTGCATGTAAGAAAAGTGTAATTATTTCACGACATATAATTAGTTACGTAATACACCTACTTCTAAAAACACGTCCATCAATGTGTCTGAGAATAGACACGTTTAATTACAAATTTAATTGATACTTTTCATAATAACAACAACATGCATTCTACACTAATCAAATGATGCAGCATTATATACATTGTGTAAATGTTGTTTATATTATTTTGCCGTATACTTACTTTACTTTTGGTTTCTTGCAAAGTCCAGTATCTACCATGTATGGATAAATGGTAGTGAATTTAATCAAGGATTTTCCTTTGCTGGATACCCGTAGTTCCTCGCTGATCGATTCCATGAGTCCTGAAATATTTGCGCCGATAAATTAAGAATGCCACGGTTCTTTGCTTGCGCGTAAAAAGCCACGTTGAAACTGAGTTGAATACAAACTGGCTTACCTCTAACTGCGAATTTCGAAGCGCAGTAGGGAACTAAATTTGGAAGGCCACCGATTCCAGCCAGTGAAGAGAGCGCAACTACGTGGCCATGATTTTTCTCGATCATGCTTGGTAGAAATACTTGTAGCATCTGAAAAATATTAGAAACAACGGAATACAAGAATAAATAGCGTAGATAGTGACTGATTGTACTTTGAGAAAATATTACATTCCATTGTATTGTGACGGTGTTAAGTCATTTTGGATTAAATGCGGTATAAAAATTCTTTTACTTTTACACGTATGTTTAATTAATTTGTGTCAACTCTTTAACTTACCCAGAAATGGGCCATCACATTAATGTCGAAGATTCGTCTAATTTCGTCCGGCGTGTGATCGAGAAACGCGTGGCAAGGCATTATACCAGCATTGTTAACTAAAATAGTCACGTCGCCGACTTCCTTCTTGACTCTTTCAGCTACGCTAAAGACGTTTTCTCTCTTCGACACGTCGCATCTGCGAAAAAAAAAGGGTAAACACGTTTCTACAATTCTTTATGTTCAATAGGTTGTTGCAGTATCGCGTTTCTCATTGTTTAGTCAATTAAGGTGGTTATTTCGTAAAATCATTTATGCGAGAATTGTTACAAATTTTTGGAGTTTCTTCTTTACATTAATACGTGCAAAATAAGACTAATTAAATTACAAGTTCTAGAAAAAAAATGTTAAAGTTTGCTACGTAACACGAAATATTACGTGTCAAACACGATAAAAATATTATTACACGTAACAATATAATTCGTTGTAATATTATTACATGTGAAATATTATTTACACACATTATTATGTGTTAAAATATTAATATTTGCGTTTGCAAACGCAAATGATGGCACATGTTATTTTTTTTAAGCTTAACGGTGAGTGAGATTTGTATGAGAAGCAAATATGCTATAAAGTAAAATAGAACGAATAGCTGGAAAAAACATCAAAATTATTGACCGTTCCATTCCAACAATATAAACGGTTAAAACTGAAAAATGAAACGAATTATGTAATAGACATGAGTGTAGTGTGAGAGATGTGGCAACAGCGCCGCAAATTATAATCTTTCGAATCTAGCTTATATTACGTATTAATCGTAAGTGTATTCTTTAGAACAATATTGCATCAAGGTATATCGTTGTAATAATTGAGCGCTGGTTTCTGTCTGGAAGAAACTTTTGAGCATTACTGTCGCGAAACAACTACCTTAAGCACTTTGCAGACGGTAAAGGATACAAACGTACTGATACGCATATGCTGCGGTTGCTCCAGTTTTCTTTATCTCGTTCACCGTTTCTTCATTTGATTCTTGATTCACGTCCCAGCAGACCACCGTTGCGCCCAGCGATGCATAGCGAAGGGCCAACTCTTTTCCAATACCATGGCCAGTGCCTGTTATCTATAAAAGTTTAATAAATTCGTAGTAGAGGCATCGTTTAATTTTAGTATCTCTTTTTCGCAAGTCACTTCATTAGGAAGGCGTCTTTTTCTATTGATGAAAAACTTTATTTCTACTATTTATTAATTTCATTCCTAATATAAATTTAATGCAAAAAATTAATCCAATATTTTACGTGAAAACGCGGTTAATACAGCATCATTACTAATACGCGCGCATACCTATATATCGCCAGTAAATTATACGTTCATATATGCATCAATATTTTCAATTGGATACAAACCAAAACGATCTCACCGGCCACGCTTTTCTCTTCTGGTGGAACGAAAAATCTGTACACGCTCTCGCAAATGTAGTATAGGATCTTCAGAATAAGTAACAAGACGTCCGCAAGGACCAACGCGCCGTTGTACGCTTTAACCATAGCTGTTTGATATTCTGGCCTGCAAAATTAACAAAATCTTTGTTTGAACGACGAAGTAAAATGACGGAACTCGTTTATTCATTCATTTACTATTCATTTACATCTCATACAATACGTATCGCGTATCATTTTAATAAAGACAATGATTAATTGTCATCATAATTATTGTTAATTATTAGTTTTGAATTATAAGTAGCTAATGCGTCATAGGATAATTGTTACACGTATATATAACCATATATGTATACGTGTAATTACTTTAATTGTTTAAAATTGTTAAAAAATTACTTTAATGTTTTTGTGTTGATGTAAATTGTGTTGAGTTTCGTCATCACATAAATCACTGAATGAAAATAATTGAGTGAATAAAAAAACAATTAATGATTTATTACCTTACGTCCCCGTCACATGGTAACACTTACAATTAGTCTTTCTCGAACCGCGGACAACTCATGACATTTTTAATTATTAATTTAAAGCTGCGGTCAAGCTGTTGCTTATCTTTATTGATAGTAAAGAAAAGTAAAGTAGTTCGAAGCATTTGTAGCGGCAGTAGCGGTAGACCACAGCCTTAGTTTTACATGTTGCTGTACCTCATGTTTTCTTTAAGCAAGTTATGACCCCATACATAATTGCTTGTTCCATACGTTCGATTAATTAATTATTATAATTTATTGTAATTTAGATCTTTATATTGTCCGGAATGAACTAGAAAGGAATTATTTGATATCTTCCAATTAGCCACGTGAAAAAATACCGAGGATAACATAGCTAATTTGGCCCTTTTTATTTATAATCACAGCATTAACGGTTCTTAAGAAGTTGTATATTTTATATTTTTAACGCGACATTTTATCACGCGACCTAAATTCTATTTTTTTCTCACTAAGTTTTTAACGTGCTGAAGATGACACCGTAGTGTTGAAGCGCGTACAATCGTTAAATTTTTTGTAATTAGTCGAAATCGATATTGCTATGTACAGTCGGGAGCACTGAGGTTGCGACACTTTTTTTTTTATAAGTTTACGAACGCGCAAAATAATTCAGGATCCTGAATTATTTTGCGCGTTCGTAAACTTATAAAAAAAAAAGTGTCGCAACCTCAGTGCTCCCGACTGTACAATACAATTGTTAATTTTATAATAATCGGTACGTCCCTTTTGCCCATCTAATACATTGGTAATATTGGACATTTCTTATTACAAGAAATGTGAGCCATTTTGATAGATTTACATTTTACTAAAATTCACGTTAACGACGCAAACACACTCGTTATGCTCTACTCCGAGATAACATGGAAATGACATTTCTAAATTTTGCATTTAATTATCATATTGGTAATATTAGACATTTCTTATTACAAGAAATGTGAGTCATTTTGATAGATTTACATTTTACTAAAATTCACGTTAACGACGCAAACACACTCGTTATGCTTCTACTCCGAGATAACATGGAAATGACAGTTATAAATTTTGCATTTAATTATCAGCTTTTTTTTCTTACCGAGAACACGTTATTTTGGATAAGAAAATTATTCTTAAATATTCTAGCCGAAATTTACGATAAATCCTCTTTTTTGATATATCTGCGGTCACCTTGAGAAAAAAGTGGTTTTCACGAAGTTAAAACTAAATTATACTCCTCGTTGTGGAAATGTTAAGGTTAACTGGGAATAATAGAATTTTTATTAGAGTAATCGTAAGTATTCTTTTATTACAGTAACTGTAAGTATTATTAGATGCAAAGAAGACGATTCTTATTGTATTCTTCAGGTTAACAATAAGTTATGCTTATTCAACCTTCTGTCCAGAGTTGAAAGGAATTGGGTTACCGCAGCTACTGTGTGACAAATAGTACTGATTACGTGACACGTTGTGCGTGATAGACCAGCGCACGATATGAATGAGATCATTCTTCTTCAGTTGCATCAATAGTTGTCAGCATAAGACAATTTTATTTTATTCTATGTTCATGCTTCATATCTTTTGTTTTCCGAATTATAAACATTGTAATATTTACAAAATATGTTACATAAGTTATTTTTATATATTATTTTAATAAACATATTCTTTTTACGTGGCAAACCTTTAAGAAGGTACACGCGTTCAAATCCTTCGTTGAGTACAGTAAATTAGCAGATTAAAATTAATGTTTGCATCATAAAATTTTATCCAATTATTTAGACGTGTTAGAGCTGTTGCTTTGATAACGTAAATTGCTTGAAAATGTGATTATCAATGTGTATAGTTTAACCAAGGCAAAATCACGTCTTTTCAAGGTAACCGCAGATATATGTATAGAAAAGAGGATTAATCGGGATCGATAATAACCGCGGACGTTTTAAAATGCAAGGTCATTTGACGGCACGATACGTGTAAGCGATATCAAAATTGCAATCTGTTGGACTTGACAGAAGTGTACTTAACACACGTGTGTTTCAATTTTTTTCAGCAAGATTAGATAAATGAGTATTTTTTGTTAACGGATTTGGTATATGCTTAGTTTTTATTTTATGTTAGTTTTTTTATGTGTCTTCTTCATTTCTATTATAAGAACTTGGGATATCGATTAATCTCTTTCGCACGGTCATATCTCGATTTTATACAATCACTAGTATTTTTTGTTAAGGATGTATTACGTAACCTTCCCAGCAAAAAATAT